TGTATGCACCCCCTGCATAGGAAGAGCATGGGGTGATGATATGTTGTGTGTATGCCCCTCTCCCATAGGAAGAGCATGGGGTGATGATATGTTGTATGTATGCCCCTCTCCCATAGGAAGAACATGGGGTGGTTGATATCTTGTGTGTATGCCCTTCTCCCATAGGAAGAGCATGGGTGGTTGATATCTTGTATGTATGTCCCTCCCTAGGAAATTCCTGGAATAACGCTTGTGACAGAAGAGCTCCCATTGCCTCTTATGAAGGTAAGAGGGTGAAGCGGTCATGCCTGAGGAGACCTCTGCTGCCCCAGAGTTGTGGTTCCGAGGTATTGCAGCCTGGCAGAGCCTGCGGCGCTCAGCACAGGGCAGGCTTGCCAGAGTCCTGCAGCGGTGAAGAGTGTGTCAGCCCTTAGGACGCTGTTGAAGAGGGAGGCTTTCGGAAGCTTAGAGAGAGTTCCAGAGCTCACCAACACTTGCCACAAGGCCTTATTTATTGAAGGAGCTCTTGGAACATCTTTAGAGGGTGGAAGCTGTTATTGCTTCATTTGTAGTTCCTCCTTCAAATGCACACACACACACACACACACGCTGTTGTTGCTTCATTTGTAGTCCCTCCTTCAAATGCACACACACTCACACACATGCACACACACATACTCACACTCACACATACTTACACACACTCACACACACACACAAGCTGTGGTTGCTTCATTTGTAGTCCCTCCTTCAAGTGTTCACACACACACACACACACACACACACACACACACACACACACACACACTGGGCTGGGACTACCACATTGATTTCCAGGTAGCTCAAATCAAAGAGCAGCCTATCCATCCCTCAAAGGTGATTGGCAGTGGCTTGCTGTATGGCCTCCCTGCAATCCACTGGTTTCAGAGTACAATAGGGAAAAAGAAACACACGCATAGTTAAAACGGGGGCACGCGGGGGGGGGGGGGGGCGGAGCAGGGTGGAAGCTGTTATTGCTTCATTTGTAGTTCCTCCTTCAAATGTCTCCGGCTCAGTCTCCGGTAGCCGCTTTGTTGCTTTGGGCTTCTAGCAATTACAGCCTGGCCTAGCCTGGGAAATCTCAGACTCTGGCAGCAGCGTCTGCTCCTTGTGCCGAGGCCTTTTATTCCTGGTTGATTCTTTTGGGTCCTTGGGGCCAGACAGCTGGGGAGGCACAGTGTGAAGGTGGAGAGAGAGGACAGATGGAGGAGGGCTTCGTGGGTCTAGCTTTTGGTCCTCAGAGGCCCTTGAAGACAGACTGGGCAGCTGTCTCCAGAAGCAAGGGTGGAGCCACTGTGAAAGCCTCCTCGCTAGGAAGATGAAGGGAAAAGTCATGTTTCACAGGCAGCTACAGGGCACGCTCTGTGTTACGTCATGGCTAGTGTCTTTACTCGTCATTCTACCAAACCCATGACGCATTGAGCTTACAAACCAGCTCTGGAGTTGAACTCGGGTCCTTGAGGTGCTAGAAAGCTATCCTGCTCTTCTGCTGTCCTCTCAGCCTCCTGCGTGGCTGGGATTCCAGGTACACGATACCCCCATGACAGCCAGAAGAGAATGTGTAGAAGAAACATAAGGCACAGTCCTATAGTTTCTAGTATAGCAGCTGCCCGTTCCCTCTGCTTTGTCCCCGTCCCCAGCACAGGTGTGTGTGTATGTGGTACACACATATTAGAAGCTGTGGTAATCTAGCACATTTGATCAAATATGAATTCATCAACACTTTCCATGTTGTCACATAAAATAATGATTTGCAATGATTCCCCTGAGCTGGCATGTCTGAATTTATTTAATCGTCTTCTGCTTTGGGCCATTTAATTCTCTTGATAAGATACAAACATTTTCTAGGGAACTAACTCAGTGGTAAGGTGATTGCTTAGTATACTTGAGGCCTTGGGTTTGATCCATTGTACCACATTTTTTCCCTTTTACCCAGTTAAAGATAATATTTCAATTTTTATATTTTATGTATTTTTTATATGTGCAGTTTTTCTTTTGGTTTATTCCCCTAAGGTTAAAAGTTAAGAATGTCTTATGGTAAAACACTATGCCTTTTTTTTCATAGCTTTTATTTATTTATTTTTTGCTAAACTAAAACTCAACAAAAGTTGTGTTAATTTACATGGTCAGAAAGATTTAAGGGCTGAAGAAATGACTCAGAGTTGAGAGCACTTGCTGCTCTTCCAAAAGACCCATGTCAAGTGGCTCACAATGGCCTCCAACTCCAGTTCCAGGGGATCCAGCACTCTCCTCTGGTCTCTGTTGGCACCCACATACATGTGGCACACACAGGGAGAGCCACACATACATATCCATAAATTTAAGAACAAAAGGACTCAGGAGTTTAATAGTTTTATTGTAACCTTATCAATTTTGTGTGTTTTTAAAAGTAATTATAAGGAGGAAATGAGAAAGCCCCTTTTGTCTTTTTTCCTCATTGGCTTGTTGTAAGCCAATTAATATTGTCTCACAATATTCTTATTGAATAATAGTAAGTGTACTCTGATTATACTTCCTCTCTCCTACTGTAGTCAAGGGGGCAAAGTGAGACAAGATGGCCACCTTCTGCTCTGTACAAGTGTTTAATCTAGTGCTACAGTCCAGCTGGGTCACCTCAGATTTGTGTGTTGAAGTCCTGACCCCCAGTGTGATGGTTTTAAGAGCTAACAACTATGGCCTTATGATTTGGATTGGTCATTGTTTTTTTTTTTTTTTGTTTGTTTGTTTTTTAAAGATCCATGAAACCCAATTCAATTCTTCCTACCTCATGATGTCACAATGAAGACAGGACTGTCTAAGAAATGGGCCCTTAGCAGACATTGGATTTACTCACACCTTGATTTTGGATGGCCCAGTTTCAAGATGTAGAGGAATGTCTGTCATTTATAGTCCCTGGTTGATGATATTTCATTATAGGAGCTGAAAGCACTATGACTTGGGGACATGTGAGGGCAGGTACACCTGTCATGTTACAAGAAGATTGTCACCTGAAAGACAAAAAGCCTCTTCATTTTATAAGTGGCTTACCAAATAATCTTTTAAAATTATATAAAACATGTTGTAGGGAAGGGGCTGGAGAGATGGCACAGTGTGGAGATTATGGCTGCTCCTGCAGAGGACCTGGGTTCAGACCCAGCACCCTTATGGTGGCTCACAACTGTCTGTAACTGCAGTTCTAAGGGCTGGCATCTCCTGGTCTCTCTAGGCAGCAGGCATGCACATGGTACTCATATACCTATATGCATACAGGCAAACATATGCACTTTAAAAATATTAAAAAGCTCTTAAGTCGGCACATGGGAACAAGGTCCGTGCTGAAAGAACTGTTGTCGAAGTGACCTTCCTAAGAACGGCTTTGATCCTTGGTGAACTATGTGCTGCTCTGGGGAAGCAGCAACCATGTAAAAGGTTTAAAACTGCACCTGACTTTATAGTGAGAAGAGAAACCATTAAAACTATTTAACCACAGGAAACCAAAGAGGAAACTATAGCTTGCTCAGATGTAAGGGTAAGGGGTGAGCATGCTTCATGTAGAGGAAATGGGTATTTTCACCAGCTTTTAAAATCAGACCCACCTCCCTCCCTCCCTTCCTTTTTTTTCTTCCTTCCTTCCTATTTCTGGTTGTCTGTCTTCCTTTTTTAGACAGACTTGATATGTAACCTATACTCAACTTGTTCCTCAGCCTCCCGAGGACTGAGATTGCAAGTGTGCACCAGATGCCCGGACCAAAACCAGACGTCCTTAGAGTATTGAGTCACTTGCTCGCCCGTCCTTAGAGTATTGAGTCACTTGCTCACCTGTTACTCAGTCCCTGACCCCGAGACTGAGACCAGTCGACTTGAAACACCACTTGCTTCCAGCCTCTGATGTGAGTGCTGTGAGTTTCTCAGGACACAGGGTTCCTGAGCATCTGGGAAAGTGTGCTTGCCACCTGGGCTCTTCTCCATCCAAACTTTGCTTCCATGCTTCTTCATTCAAAGTGTTTTAAGGCTGCTTTACCTCGACAGAGCAAGAGAAGAATTCACGGCTTGGTGAAGCACAAAACACACTGATTTCCTTGGAGCCCCCAGTGCAGACACATGTCATCACTGGGGTAAAAGATTTGTTAGTGATTGGAAATATCGGCATAACCACAATATAACAGCTCTTTAGAATTGTTGCTTTGGCAAAAAAACGAAGCACTGTTGGAAGTGTTGGCTGATTCTGGGGGAAATACCGATTTTTTCAAAGTTTGGATTGCATGCTTCTTGGGAGAATGAGTTAAGTGAGTGCAGTAATATTGTGAACATAATTTTATGATGCCACAGAGAAATATCCTTCATTATTCACAGAGTCTCAGGCTGGGGAACAGGTTTTTGCCATTTCTGTAGAGATGGGATCACCTGCCTCCTAGCTATAACACCGAGAGCCAGACCCAGGCTAGAAGATTATTATTTCTGTTCCTTCTTACCAACCACTCTGGGCTGGGCTTCTCTTACCTGTACTTCTGGTTAGAGATATAATGTTCAGTTTCTAAGATTGCAAGGAGGGAAATACTTTACTCAACACTGGCTTTCTGTGGGCATATGCTCCAAGAAAGCTAAATGTGAGATAGATAGCCATAATTATCAATTACATTTAAAAAAAATCCAGCCTATTAAAAACAACACAGAGTGGCTGATAAAACTACCCAGTCAGGTCAAGGAAGTGGATTTTTTTTGCCAGATACTGGAGCAGGAGGAAGCTTATTTATATTCATGAGACTTGAATAAGACAGCTGTGTGCCTCAGGAATTCTAGTCTTTTGTTACATGGAAGGATGCTCTTACACCAAGCTCTTAGTTTAAGTATTGTGCCTTTTGTGCTTCTGTCTACAAAGACATTTTCTATTGCATTGTGTCTATGCTGGAGGCAATGCATTGCTGGATCCCTCTGGACAGTAGAAGTGAGTCCTGACATTAGATCCACTGTAGATCCTAAGAAGACCTGCGCTAGCTCTGCTCACTGAGCCTTGGAACACAGGTTCTCTCAGTGTGGGCTTCCTCCCCCAAGAAGATGATGGTTAATCAGCAAAAGTAGGACCAAGCCAGAGGGTCTTTGAGAAATGAGAGGCAGATGTTTACTCCCCAGTGACCTGCAGATGAGCCAGTACCACAGGCCCCTTTTGTTCTGTTTCTGGATCAATTGGCCATCCAAATCCTAAATGGGAAACAGTCCCTTCATGTAACTGGCCCTTTGTTTAATTAATTGTTGTGATGGGCTGCATG